CCGTCACCGTGCAGAAAAATCCCTGGGGGCAATTAGAATTCATGCTTCTGCCTGCTGCTGCAGCACCAGGCTGGGCAATGGCACTGCCCTGCATCCCTCCAGAGCCACATCCAGGCTGGGGCTGGGGGATGTGGCCTCACTGGGGTGACGCAGAGCGAAAGTCCCAGCAGCGCCCGGCCCCACTGAGCGAGGTGCAGCACTGGGTGGAGGCTGTTTGGTTCTGAAATGACTGTGTGGAACGAGGAAGGATGGCAATGACCCCCACACTGAGGCAGCTCTTCTCTTTGGGAAGGCAGATAGGCATCCAAACCCCCTCTGGGATCCAGGCCACCCTTTCTGCTCGGTGCTGGTGGTGCTGCCCGCAGCAGGAGCACGCTGTTGCTGCAGAGCTGGGTCACCCCGTGCTACAACTGAGTGTCAGTATGGGAAATGATGTCTGCTTGCTGCTGGACGGCTTGCTGGGGCAGCCATGAGATGGTGATGGCTGAGCCCACCCTCGTGTGTGCTGCACAAACCTGGTTTGCTCCTGGCAGCCTGCTGTGAAGAGGAGTGAAATTCAAGGGTCTTAAACAGAGCAATCCTCGCCCCGCTCCTGGGCTCACATCACCCCGTCGTGGCTTAGTGAGTCTGACCTAAAATCAAATCCTAAAATCAAGCCAAGGCCCTGCATCTACATCCCAGATCCCACATCCTGAGCTGCACAGGTTTTCCCCTGGCCTGCATGACTTGTCCAGCTTGCAGTTAGGAACACGGGGCAAGGCCAGCAGTTGGCTCCCTGCTCTGCTCAGCCATGCTCCCTTCCCAGCAGGGCAGCTGCCCACCTGCCAGAGGATGCACATGGATTGATGGCGCTCGGCCCATCACTGCCTTACAGCTCACCTGCTGACTGTCACCTTAATTCATCACCTGCAAAACTCCATCCCAACAGCTCTGGGAAACTTTCCCTCATTAAAAGAGTGAAGCCCCAGGGATGGGGACTTGCTGGCAGTCGGCTGCAGCAGGCAGAGGGCTTGGAAGGGGATGCACCCTGCTGTCCCTGAAGTGATGGAGATGCTTATGTGAGAGGGACACACTGGAAGTGCCACATGTGGACAGGACAGAGCCGTGGATGGGACACATCTCCGCTCAGGAGCAATAAAGTAACCAAGCTCCAGTTCAGTGCCAGACCAGCACATGATCCCAGCAAAGCCATGGGGAGATCAAGCCCAGGTTGGGCTGTCTGTTCCGAGCTGGGCTGTGCCGTGCCTCAGTTTCCCCACAGCACAGCGGGTTCAGCCCCACCACCCAAAGGCCTGGGACCCGGGGGAGGCATCCGTAGTGCCGGGCAGAGCGGCTGCCCGCCAGGCTGCACTTTTGGGTTAAACCCAGGCGTTCCTCTGCGCGCAGACACGAGTAAAAATAACCGGCCGGAGCGCGGCGCAAACCACAGGCTTTTTATAGCCCGCCATCCCTAGACGGCGGGGCGGGGGCCGAGGCTCCGCCGTGCTCAGGGCAGCCCGCAGGGCGCCGTCCCGGCCGCACCGCACCGCCCCGCACCCCGCACCAGACGGTGCCCCCCTCCCCCGGCCCGTGCGCACCGACGGGGCGGCCGCGGCGGGGCAGCCGGCACCGAAGGGTCCCGCCGAGGCGCGGGGCTGGGGGAGCGCTGCCCGATCTCCCCCTCACGCACCCCGGTGCCAGCCACCGGCTCAGCGGCCGATCCCGTGTTCCCCACCGGGGGGTAGGGGCAGCTCGGAGCCCCCGTGCGCACGGGACCCCATCTCTCCGCCCGGGACACTCACCTGGACACCGGCTCCTTCTCCTTGGTAAGTCTCCACCGGCACGGCCGCGGGTGCCTGGCGCTGCAGCGGAACCGGCCCGGCCCGGTGCGGCCCCGCCGCCGTCGGGTCCCGGTGCCGGTCCGGTGCCGGTGCGCTCCCGGGAGCCGTGCGCTGCCCGCTGCCTGCTCCAGCCGCACGGAAACATTTGCATAGCCCCGCCCCCCCGCGCCGATAAATTTGCATAGTGCTGCCGGGCTCGCTCGCCATTGGCTGCTGCGGCGGGGCCGGTTTGCAAACCACGCCCATTTCAGGGAAAGGGGAGGGGCTAAGGGCGCGAGCTGTGCCCCGAGGATGGGGTCAGGGCTTGGGGCGCTGGGGGGTGCAGCCATGGGGGGGATGCGATAAAGGTGAGGTTATGGGGGTTTGGAGCGCGAGTCGGTGCGAATCTGAGAGCTACGGGGGTCCCGGGGGTGGTCCTGTCCTCACTGAAGGGAGCAGGCTGAGGGCACAGGGTTAGAAGGGTTGGGAGTGCCCGCACCCCGGCCCCCCGTGTCACAAAGAAACCTCATCTGCTCGGAAGCTCTGCAGCTAAACAGCAACAATCTCTTTTTTGATCTCTTCTGATTACAAACGTTTCTGTTTCCTACACGTTTCACCCTGCGAGGGCTCCCCTCGGTGCTACAGCATGCAGAGCAGCCGGAGCCTTTGCTCAGCTCAGGGACCATTCGCTCATCATGAGGCCGCCCTGCAGCGAGCGGTCGTGGAAACCGAAGCGGGGGCCGGTGAACCACAGTGACATAACATGAGGGAGGTGGCAAGGAAGCTCTGGGTACTGAGAGCTGAGAGCTGAGCTGAGAGGAACCTCGATGTGCACCCTGAGGCCTTTGAGCAAAGCAAAGCGCAGTGCAGTGCACACTGCAAACCCCACAGCCACCGTTCCCACTCAGTGCAGGGGGGGGTCAGGCCCTGGTGACATGGAGAGCCCAGCTGTGATTTCCTGGCACTGTCACCAGCGCGGGCACACGGCGTGCAGTGGGGCCACCTCGAGCAGGGAGAGGAGAATGCACGTGTTTGTGGATGCTGCAACTCCAAACTGGTGAGGGTGCAGAGCAAAAGTGAGATGCTGCTGCATCATGTGGTGACAATGCAGTCACCAGTGGGCAGTGGGCAGTCCCGGGTTTGGGGGACACTGATGTGTTGGGACTGTGCATCCAAACCCTCAGATCAGCCCCAGCGAGGAGGGCACTGCCTGCCCGGGAGCTGCTCGTCCCATTGGGAGCAGCTGTGTTTATAGCACGGAACTGATGCAACCCTGAATTCACGTGCCCAGGCAGCAGGTGGGAAAGAACTGGATGGAAATGAGCTCCCCAGGAGGGGACGTGTCCTTGCACCCTGCCATGCCGGCCCCAGTCCCTGAGCTGTGGGGCTGGAGGGAAGTGGCTCCCTGGATCAGACTTTCTGTGGGGTTTGTGCAGGCGGAAAGGACACGACATCTTTCTCAGAGCTGCATTTAAAGCTCACGAGTTATAGAGGGCTTCAGAGTGCAATTAGCAGACTGTTAATTAGCCCTGCTCATAATCTTAATTGATCCTGGAGAGGAGGTGGGAGGGAGAGCAGGAGTGCAGGCGCATCAGGAGAGCAGCATCCTGCACCAACGTGTCCAGCTGTCCCCAGCTGTCTCCTTCTGCCCCGGCTGCAGGGCAGGGACACACGAGGTGGCCTCTTGATTGCTCAGAGCATCAGACCTCCCTGACCCTTCCTTCACCTTGTGGTCTCCTGGGGCTTGGCTTGGCCTAGGGCTGCTTCCAGCTGAGCCCCTTCTTTGAGTGTGGGACTGTCCCTGGGGTCAGGGGGTGCACAGGGGTTGTCCAGGCTCTGGTTGGCTGCTGCCAGCAAGCTTGAGGCTCAAAAGCTTTGAGCTCCCTCTGGAGGCCCTTCCTGCCCCCAAATCCAGGGATTTGGGGGGACCTGAGCTGAGCCCCAAGTGATGCAGCCACTCAGAGGTGATAGGGGCACTGGCACTGGGGGCTGATTTGGGGACCCTGAGCCAAATGCCAGGGATGCGGGCTTGGGGACCTCCATCCCCCACAGCCAAAAATGCAAGCGGGGCTGGAAATGAGCAGAGAGCCAAACCATCACTGCCTGCCAAGGCCAACAACGCCAGCGTTCAAAATAGCCCCATGTCCCGCGTGGCTCCGGAGCAGAGGGTGCCAGCAGGAACCACCCACGCGGGACAGGCGGCTCTGATGGAAAGGTCGCCCATCCCGGATCCCACAGCTGGGCTGGGCATGGGCCCAAACGCTGATGACACCGGGCTGGAAGGAACTGGAGGCATCTCCCATCCGTGTCCTCATCGTGGCCCTGGCACAGTGCATGGGATGTGCACGGAAAGGCACAGCCCTGATGTTGCCCTTATCCCATACAGGTGGGAAACGGCTGCTCTGGGGGCTGAGGGTTTGAGTAGGGAACCTCTGCCTCAGTTTCCCCTCTGTTCCTGAGTGCATTCCCAAAATAAAAGGGGATCTGCAGAGTGAATTTTTCCAAATTGATGGGTGTGCTGAATGGGGTTGGGGGGGGTTGCTCAGTGCTATCACCCCCCCCCTCTCCCCCCGAGGGATTGTGTTGCGAAGGGCAATTCCCAGCCATTCCCAGGGGAAGAGGAGCTTCTGCTTCCCAGGATATTTATAAAGCACGGGAAAGTTGGGCCGGCCCCGAGTTCCGGCGGTCCTTTCTCAGCCTCACGGGGACGCGTTTCGGCCGTTCACTCCCAATTTACGCAGCAGCTGAAGTCAAACGCACCTCCCCGGGGCCGACGTCCCCTTCCTCGACGCGGAGCAGCGGGGTGGCTCACGGCCGGTAGGGATTTCCAGGAGCTGACTGGGAAAGGGGCAGGCGGGGGGGGGACCTGTGGGGTACCGGTGGGGTACGGCCAGCCCCCACCTGTCCATCTGTCCTCGCGTCTGTCCCCGGAGCCCCCACCCCGTTCCTGCCCCTTTCCTCCACCCTCCGATCCCTGGGTGGGACGCGGGCGGAGCCGCTCCGCGTTGCCCGGGGCGGGGGGGTCCGGTCGTGGTGGGGAGGTCCGGGGACAGGACGGGCAGGACCGCCCCGTCTGGGCAGCGCTGCGCGGAGGAAAGCGGCGCTCCCGGGGTTCAGCGCTCGATCCCGGGTCGAAGCGGAGGTGCGCGCGGCTTCTCCGGCCCTGCCCAGCGCCCTCCGGTTCTCGGTGCCGGCCCCGCCATGCCCTCCTACCCGCAGCGGACCCTGACGGTGCTCCTGCTCTTCGGCACGCTGTCCGCCGCCATGGCCCTGCTCGCTTCCAGCCTCATCTTCCAGCTGCCGGCGGGTCGGACCGCTCTCGGAAGCGGTCCCGGTGCCGCTCGAGGAGCGCTGCCGGAATCCGCGGCCGCCGTTTTGCTGCCGGTGTCGGCCGTGCTGGCCGCGCTCTGCCTCGTGCTCAACGTGAGCTGCCTCCTCCTCTGCCTCCTCCACGGCTACTTCAGCACGGAGCTGTGCCGGGGGCAGCCCGGGCCCGAGCGGTGAGAGCGGGGGGCACCGCGGTGGGGCGGGGGGGAGCACCGGGGACTGGAAGGTGTGGGGGGCACCGGGGTGCTCTGGACCCCCAGGGATGCAGAGGGAGCTCGGAGGGGTCCTCGCCACTCCTCTTTCCCCCCGCGATATTGGCCCCTCCCTGTGGAAGGCGAGCAGAGGGGACTGCAAGGGTTGGACCGCTCTGGGTTTGGGTGAACGCTGGGCAGTGACAGCCCAAATTCCTCCCTGCTGTGCCCTCCCATGAAGCGGGGTTACCTCTGGCTGATCCACCCCGGGGCTGTAAATTTGCTTCCTTCATTAGCTGCAAGTAGTGACTGCACTGATGAGCTCACAGCTGCTGCACCCTATGGAGTTACCCAAGAGCATTCCTGGGTGATCCCAGCCCTCGTGCTGTGTCTGCACCTGGAGCCACCCATGTTTGTCCCTTGCCACAGTGGTGACCGCCAGGTGACCACAGACCCACGTTTGGTGACCAGCAGACGTGTGCTGACTTAATCATTACCAGCACGTTTACACTTGCAGAACTGTTTCCAATGCAATTAGTTCCAATCTGCTTCCTCAACCATGACCTGGCTTTGGTCGGTGGCTCCTGGGTGAACCAAAAATAAAAGCAGCGTGCAAATGATGGCAGTGAAATGCAGCTCATTGGAAGTCGGTCCCTTCATGTGGCTCCCACGGTGGTTCCTGCAGGGCCGTTTTGGGACCGTTGTGAGCAAGTCACAGCTCAGCTTAGAGGAAACAACAGGATCTGGCAAAACTTTGAGTGTCTCACATTTCGTGCAGCAGCTCCAGCAAGTCTCACCTGCTGGCTTCCAAGTGATGCTGCATCTCCACGTGCTCATTAGTGAAGATTCCCAGAGTAAACCTTGCTTACAGTGGAAAATCCACCCATTGGCTGTGAATTTGTTTGAGATTTTGTATTCATTTGGGCTGGAAAATGCTCATTTTCCAGGTTGTGCAATTCTTGTGTGGAAGCCTCAGGGTTGAGGCAGGCTGAGCACTGAGCAGCAGCGATGGAGGTCACACAGACACAGTGTGAGGGCGGCAACCTGCTCCACGGCTGGGTTGGAGCAACCCTCCCAAAGCTGTTCCCAAACAATTTGACTTTATATGATGCTTCTGTGCTCTTCTCCTGTGTCCCCATGCGGTGAGAGGCTGCTTTTGGCTTTGCTGCTGGCAGTGCAAGGCTTTGGCAGCAGGGAGCTTGCAAGGAGCAGGTCGGGAGTCCCAGCTCCACATCCCTCTGCCTGGGATGGGTCAGGCAGCGCCTCGTTTTCCCAGCTGTGAGCTGAGGGTTACGCTGTGTTTTGGGAGGAAGAGAGGCAGCCTGGGGCAGGAGGTGCTGGGATGCAGCCCTTCTCCCTGTGATGCCGTTTGCTGCCATCTCTCCGTGGCCCCACCGGCCGCTGGTTTCATTAGGGGACCAGCTCACGTCCCAGGGACCTTTCCCACGTTGGGGCTGTCACACTGAATTACCGCTCCGCTTCTCAGCGCTGCGCTCAATAGTCCGAGCCAGCTCCAAACAAAGTCCTTCTCCTCCCCGCTAATCCCTCCCGACTCAGGTAATTAAGAAAACAAAGCGGCTGCTCTTCCTCGCCGGGCAGCGGGTTCAGGCTCCATTAACGGCTCCAGGCTGCAGCAAGCCCAGGAGGAGGGCATCGTGCTGGGGGACTCGGGGAGGAAATGGGGACAGGGCGCAGCGTCCCTTGGCTGCTGCATTTGTCCCATGGGGTGGAGGGAGCCGGCTGCCGCGGAAGTGCAACGTGAGGGCTGGTCCTGCCGGGACAGTCGTGTCATGCTGAGCTGCAGGTCCCGTGTCCTTCCAATGGGCCCCAGGGCTTCTGGAGGTGCTGCAGAATCCGTGATGCTCTGTGCGCCCCTGAAAGGAGGGCCCTGCAGGAAACGAGCTGTTCTTCTCCTGTGGTTTAGGAACGATTCAAACAACGCCCCCCCCCTCCAGACAAAGGGCTCGCAATCTGAGCTGAGCAAAGAAATCCACTCCCGAGGCTGCAAAGACAACCTGGCCTTGCTAAATTTAGTGCACCAGCACTTTGCTTTTCACTCTTTCTTTAAGGGGGAGATGGGCATGAGGCCTCACTTTTGTTCCTTGCTTGCTCTACAAGGTTTGCTGAACAGGACAAATCACCTGCAGAGAGCCCTGAGCAGCCTGAATCTCTCTTGTCTGCCCTACCTGCTTTCCAAAGCACAGCCAGAATCAGGCATCTCAAAATCCTTTTTCCAGAGCGGGAACAGATCATGCAGAGCTGTGCAGCACAGAGGAAAGACTCAACCCTGAACTTCTCCATGCAAAAGCAGCATTTCAGTTCCTCAGCAGGGGCCAGGAAACAACGCAGCCCCATCTCAGCAAAGTGTTTCTGTCCCGTTTTGCAGGGCAGACTGGTTCCTCCTGGACAGCCGGACAGTTCGCCACGCGGCCATCGGCTTGTTCTGCTGCGGGGTCTCAGTCTATCTGACAGGTAAGTGCTCACTGCCCACAAACACAGCCTGCTGCGGGGGGAAGGCAGGGACTGTGCCCAGCCCCGGCCTCTCTCTAGATGCTGATTGCTTGTGAGCTGCTGCATTTCCACCAAAGCATCAGGTTTGCTTTGCGAATAGCATCAGCCGCAGCGTGAACTTTCTTCTCTTGATGAGCAGCCCCCACGGGGCAGCTCTGGCCTGAACTTTGCAGGTCAGATGCATCGCTTGAATCCATCTGGTTCCTCACGGTGTGCTGCACTCCCCCTTCCAGCTCTTGCCATCTACATGCTGCTGCTGTTTGAACTCGAGGCTGGCATCGCCAGCGCCTGCATCCTCTCCTCTGGCATCATCGTGCTGTTGGTGACGGTGACGCACGCCCTGGTCCGCGCCTCCCAGCTGTCACGCCGCAGCCACTCCGAGATCTCTCACACTCTGTATGAGAACGACTCTGCCCAGCACAGCGAAACTCCCGGCAGCAATCTGAACAACAAGAGCATCCCTGTGCCCCGGCCCCGGCCTGAGATCCATCGGGAATTCTCCTTCTCTCCCTTCCTGGAGCGCAAATCTCAGCTGGGCTCTCCGGCCAGCAGCAATCTCACCTCCTCGGGCAGCCCTGGGGCACACTCTGAGAAGGAGAGCTACCACCTGCCCCGCACGCACAGGACGCTGTCAGCAGAGTCAGCCTTGCTGCAGGCACAGGGCAAGCCCTGGAACGGCGTCACCCAGGAGATGAGGAATGTGCTGGCACGCAAACCTGGAGCCTCGGGCAAGGACTCGACCCTGGTGTGAGTGGAATGTCCATCTCATCACAGCAGAACTGCAGGAGCCATAGCCAAGATCTGCATCTCTGTTTAGAGCTTAATATAGGTCACGTCACAGCCCAAGTGTCAGCGATCCCTCATGAGGTCGGGATGGCTGATTTTCCACCCTCTGCCCTCCTGCTCTGAGGATGCTGCATGGGCCTGTGCAGCCACAGCCACAGGTTTTCTTTGCTGAGAAGGCCGGGCTCCCAGCCCCTCCTGCAGTGCTGCTGGCACTTGTCTCCCTGCAAACAAGACAGCAGGGGCAGGGAAAGGCTCGAGCAGGACTGTCCCATCTCTGCAGGGCACTGAGCAGCAGCGAAGGAAGTGGCAACACACGTGAGGGCTGAGAGGACTTTGTCCAGGAGCACACCTACCCTCCTTCCCCAGCAACCCCAGCCAGTTTCTCTGGCTGCCCCTCTCCCCTTCCATTGCCTCCTCTATTCCCTCAGTCACCAGCACCTCAACCCTCTGGGCAGGACATGGGAGCTGCCCATCCTGTGTTCCGTGGGAAAACCTTGCTGGGGATCACCTGGATGTCACCTAAGGACGGTGCCAATTGTCAGCGCTGAGACCTGTGGCGCAGGAAGGGCTGTGCTGGTGGTTCTCTGCTGTCTGCAGGACAGAATGCACAAGTGCAACTGCTGCTCCTGTTAAAAATGAGTGGGTTCAGCTCACAGTTACTAAAGCTACGTGCTTGGATCTTCCCCACATCCTCATCATCCAGCAATCTGTAAAGCATTTCACGGAGGGAAGGAAGGCCGCTGACCCAGATCCCCCCTCACCTTCCATGTTATCCTCACAGATACCTGTTACTCTGAGCACAATACACAGCACTTTTTTGGAAGTCTAGCACTGCTTTGATCCCTGTATCCTTGGTAAATTCTTCAGCAGAACAGAACTGTTGGTTCCAAGAGAGATTAACACTGCATGACACAGAATGAAGAAAGTCCTTTTTTTTTTTCTTCCCAAAGAACAGGACAGTTTCTTTCTCACTTGAAAAGGCTCCAACTCTGCATGTCTTTGTTTTGCTCCGTGCCCTTTGAAATACACAGAACCAGCAGGCTGCAAGACCCCCCAGCCCGAGCAAGCAAGAGGGGAAGGTCTGAGACAGAACAGACTTGTTTTTCCCTTTTATTATTGTTCTCACTAAGACCAAACTCAGCGACTCTTTGGCACACACACGAAAAGCTCTCCTTGCAGAACACCCCCTGAACAAGGCTGAAGTGTGCCTCCATTCAGTCTGGACACAGCCATCTACAAAATACTGAAAGAAGACCTAGTTTGTTCTGAGATATTTCTGTGGCCAACGGTTAGAGAGGAAAAATGCCTCCTAGCAGTCCGCCATCAAAAAGAACTGGAAAGGACAAATGCAGAACCATCCCATTTCCATTCCCACTGTGGAAAAGGATACGACTGCTCCCCAAAGCATCCCCCAAAGGCAGCTCTGACCCCAGTGGCAGGGTTTTTACTGCTCAGGTGCAGCACCTTGTTACTGGGAACAGACAGGCAGGCACAGGCCTCTGTGCAACTTCACAGACTGAGCAGGTTTCTTATTCCTCCATATGGTCAGAAAACGCGGAGCTGGGCTGGAGAAGAAGGCAGAGCACAGCCAGTCTTGTTTGCAATCAGGAACTGCCTGGAGGATTCTTGGCTTGTGGGGCAACAGCGCTGTAAAAAGAAACAGACAGTCACATCCAGCAGCCACGAGGACATGAAGAACCAGGGGTTCCCTCCTGTAAAAGTTCACTGCTTGCAGCAGGGGAGCTGCTTAGACAAGAACACCTTTCAGTGTTCCACGCAGACTACGTAGCAGCACACACCAGCCACCGTGGGTGTTGAGAGAACGGTCTTTTAAAGCCACAGCACCACAAAAAAAAATAAAAACAACCCAGCAAAATGCACTGTAAGTGCTGGACAGCATGACCCTGCTGCACGGGCAACTGGGAAAATACAGAACCCGTACCAGAGATGTGTAAAGCAGAGTCATTCTGCAGACAGAGGCACTTTGTTTTGCTGTGGTGGTTTTATCAGGGATGGACATTTAAAACTGTTTGTGGTGAGCATGGGTGCCTGGGAGTTTTCTCACTCCTAACCAGTCAGACTCCAATACCAACACAGTTCTCAGGAGACAAATAAACTGGACTCAGATGATCTGCTGGAAGGTGTTTTAGTAGCTGTAATTCAACTGCAAAACACAAGAACACAATCTTTGTGCTGTATCTGCCAGCACCACTAATCTCTATGGGACTTCCCTCAGGGAAAGAGCCACATTCATGACAGAGAGCAGCACCAAGGGCAGCCTCTGACCTGTTCCATCTCAGTAGCATCATCACACTGCAAGTGCCTTTAACACAACGCTTTAGTGTATTACAGAACCAAACATCCCTATTTAAAGAAGGCAATAAATTATTTTCCACTTATCTCTTTCTGTGAATAAGATTATTTGCTTCTTGTGGTAAACAAAGCCAGAAGATCACTGAAGGCAAGCAGCACGCTGTTTTAAATAATAGTCTGGCATGACATTACTGAAATAACTGCTGGGCATGTTTGTTCTGAGCTGCATTACATCACCAAAGCCTCTGTCAGGCAAAAGGGTCACTGATGAATAAGCAGGGCAGTGTCACAGTGCCTTGCTACCTGCGGCCCTGAGCGGCGTTCAGCTGATCCTTCATGGCAATGGCATGCTTGAGCAGACTGTCAATGCTCCTGAAGTACACACTGCTGTCAGTCATGCTCTTGATGGCACTGAAAGAGAGAGGAGGACTGGTGAGCATATCCTCAGACTAACAGTGCTTCACATCTTCAGACACTTGCTGGTTAGTGAGTGGATCCACTGCAGGAGACGGGCAGGACTGCGCTGCAGGCTCAGCTGGGGAAGAGCTGATGTGCTCAGCCAAGGGAAAGCCTCGAGGCTCTGGGAGCTCTGCCCTGCACCCTCACACCCCCACCTGACTGCTTTCTCCCTGGCTCACACAGGAAGCCATCAGGGAAGCACAAGGGACCTCTGCTCTGCTTCTACTGCAAAGCCTGTGCTGGCGAATGCAGTGACTGGGTGAGTCTGCAGTACCTGCAGGCGTACTCCACGGTGTAGATGGCTCCTTGGCTCTGCTCCTCCCAGCTCTGCATGTCAGACTGAAAGAAACAAGAGGGCAGGGTGAGGTGTGCACTCAGCGACGCAGCTCACAGCGATGCACTCTGCCAGCTCTGCACAAATGAGGGCTCTGGCTGCTTTTCACTAGGAGCTGCGTTTGGATTCTGCCTACTGTTTGACAGCCTGTGATGCTTGGCTCTGGGTGCCAAGCACTCGAATTGGAAAGAAACATTTATCTGGAAGGGCTACGGGTTGGAGCCAACACTTGGGATGCACTGGCAAAATTCTCCTTGTTTTCAGATGTACCCATGAGCCAGCTGGGAGCTGCAATGAGGCTGGCAGCAATGCCACAGAGTGCCAGAATGCCCAGATCCCCTGGTGTGCCTGGCCCAACGCACCTCTTGCTGAGTCCAGTCCTCAGCTCCTCGTGCAAAACCAGGTAAAACAGCACTGCAAGCTCTCATTTCATTCTGCTTGCTATTTGTAACCATTATCACAGCCAGAAGCCTCCTCTAGCCTGCTCTGAAACTCTGTCTGACCCCAAGGAGCAGTCAGCACTGTGCCCTTCCTTTCATGAGCTCGGAAGGAGCCCTGTAAACTTCACACCAACTCAACTACATGCAGGCAGTTCTGGCATGGGATGCAATTTTCCTCTCCAAGGAGAGGGAAAACCAAATGCATGTACCAATCACAATGAAAGCATAGCTGAATTCAGAGGCGTTGCTCAATAGATAACCATTTCAAAAGTGCTCAAGTAGTTTGGGCACTTTTTAAAATATGTTCTCATGGGAGCTCATTCTCAAGTCTATTCTGCTGGGTTTAGTTACAAGCCAAAGAAAACGCCAGGGCCTCTTTTTGTGACTGAAGGAGGTCGGCTGGGAGCTTGGAGTGCATCCAAAATCACTTCTGTCTGTTCAAAGCCTGTCCTACATCGGGACGCTTGACCACATGGCTACAAAAGAAACAAGCCTCTACATGCAACACTGCAGGCAGCTCCCTGCTGGGTCCTCCCACCCGACTCACAACCCCACAAGCTGCCCTGCAGAGTTCACACTTATCCCGGAGTCCAATCACCTTTTACGTGCCCATAATCTGTTGCTGAACACAGGCTTTGTGAGCAGAGGCAGCTGAAAGAGACAGCTACGTCCTGCAGCTCTGCAGCCTGTTCTGCCCAAGAGGTGCCAGATGATCTTTAGCAACCATTTAGAGCCCAGCATCGCGCTGGCTCAGTCACCACAGCAGCTCAGCACTCTCACTGCCCTGCTGAAAGCTCTGTGCCACCAAGGGCAGGTGACCCCCCTGCCAACCATTTCCTCCAGCAGCAGCACGGCCTCTGGACAGTTTCAAGGACTGCCTGTCAGCTCCCAAAGCCCAGTGCAGGATGAGGGCACGGCTGTAAAACCAGAGATGGTGACTGCAAAGCTCCACTGAAAAGGTGGAAACAATACAGTCACTTGCCTGTGGCCCTGAGCACAAGCAGATTTTATTAATTCCCCATCATCAGTGCCAGTGATGTCCATTCTCAGCATTCCCTCTACTTCCTAGGAATGCTGTGCCATTAATTAGCAACAAAAGCCTTTCCCTGAAGCTCTTCTTCAACTTTTCTTAACGTCCTTCCTTCAAATTCCCAAGAGGTGCCTTTGGATGCAGTTTAAGAACTAAAGCCAGCTATTAATATACTAAGGATATATTACTGTTGCTTAGCAGTAAATTAATGAGGAGATGTAAGTTCTCAAAAGATCAGGGGAAATCCAGAAAGGCAGCTTTGTGCAGAGCAGAGCTTTGCAGCACAGCTCCGACACGTGGAGGCAGTGAGGGCCCTGCATTGTGCTCCATCTTATCAGCAAGGGGCTGAATCTGCCTGGAGAGTCTGAGATGGTAAGGAAGGTATTAAGATTATTTTTAATCAAATCAAAGTTGCTTGTTGTAAAGACATGGAGGCGACCTTCTCCTTGCTTACTTCCCCCTCCACCCCCCAGCTCATTTTTCCTAGGTTTAATCTCCTCAGGAACTGTAAA